AGGGCCAGCCATCGTATGCGGAGCACGTCTTCTGTAGCACGATTGCCGGCAAGGGCTCGCATTTCACGAAGCAACTGTGAGGGTTTTCGGTCACCTAGTTCTAGATCAGTGAGCAGTTTGTGCATCTGAGAGTCTTCGGAGGCTGTTAGTCTACTTATTAGGTTAGACTTGAGATTTTGGTACTTATCTTGAGGTGGTGGAGCCTTCAAGATGTCTGCAACTTCCGTGATTGTGTCCGGGTCCAGTGATTTTACCAATTGATAGTACTTGGTGCTATCGGACTGTATACGGTGGGCTTGAAAGACTGATTCAATCTGCAGGAACCATAGGTCTGGATGAGAACGCCAAAAGGGTGGCAGATTGCAGTTGTAAACTGCGTCAATGGCATAACTCTGCTGCTGGTTGAGCATCATGGGGGCTGGCAACGAATTTACTACTGGTTGGGCATATGCTTGCTGATAGCTCACCGGGTGATTTGTTGGATTAAAATGCACCGCGGGATCAAATGCTGTACTGCCGTGAGGGCCAGAAGGTTGAGGCATAGGAATACTCACTGACGAACTCCTGTCTGGTTGCTGGTTGGTAAAAGAGCTGTTTGCAGCAAATTGCTGATCAGGATCTACTGAGGAGTCGAAATTGCTTTGCATCTTGATTTTTTTAGTAGTCAGACACGTCTTTTAGGTTAGAGGCCGAGTGGTACGCGGAGATATATCACGTCGGGGTCACCAGTTATAGCTACTACTGCTATGTGTTTGCTTGATATATCACCAGCGAATGAAAACACTGTTTTACTAATAACTCGGTTTAATTCTGGGCACTGAACATACAAATAAATCGAAATACTTTATTTTGTTAACAACAACAACACGATATCATAATTGCGCGGCAACAAGCTGACTAGAAGTAAACAACAACCTGGGACAGCTGTCTTCTGTCACGTCACGTCAGGCCGCCAGGGTTGTACACAATAGTTGAGCCATCCAGGGTTGAACACAACGGACTCGCGGAACAATGACGCCACAATTTCTTAACTGGTGGCGCCATCTATTGACAATGTATGATAATGAAAAAAGTAAAAATTCTTCCTTATCACTCATTATTTCCATAATAATTATTTTTTGTCCCAAACTTTAGGTAACTTTTAAACAATTCGAAGTATTTTTTATAGTTATCAAAATAATTGTTTTACGCAAAATTACCGTTAAAAATGTTTAATATCTTAACTAGTGCTTCCATCTATCAACATTGTATAATATTAAAAATGAGTATTATAATGAATATCTGTATCGTAATGAAGTTCATTATAATACAGATTTTAATCGTTTAATAGCGTATTATGAAATGTCAGTAGAAAAAACTTATTATCTGATATTTGCGACGAGAAATTATTGAGAGTGTATATGAGAATTTAATAAATTTTTGCCTATTTGTCAAAAACGAGTGGACTAAAATATGAAGTGTGTTATATCATTGTAATCAGAATAAGATATTCTATCGAACACATATATAATATAGAGGGTGTTCTATTTAAAAAAAATATAAGGCTTATATGTCAAAAAATTGATAATGTTTTGTTTTATGTGTAACTTGAAAAAAAAAATTGGCTATACTAATGCTACATTTTGTTTTTTTGTTTACCTTGATATCTTTATAAACAAAAAAGTTACAGGTGATCAAAATGATATCAAAGATAAAAAAACACCCGGTACTTTCCAAAAGGTGTTAAAAAGGCAGTGTAGTGCTTCGAACCTTTTGATAGTGGAAGTTGCCAAAAACTTGATACACAATCTAATTTTGAAAATACTTTTGCATTTCTTATTTGTGCCAGTGTAGAATCCACTATTAATAAAATAAGTTTTTCTCTTAAAACAAATTTATTGAGCTCAGTGAAGTCAGCACATATTCTAACTTGATCATTTGTTTTGGGGACACAAACCATTGGTGCACACCATGGAGTAGGATTATTGTAAACCACCTGCTCAATTATCTCTTGATCTACCATTCTCTGTAGCTCGCGTTTAACTTTATCCATTAATGGAAGTGCTACTCTTGTGGGTGCTGAAATTTAGTATGGTACACAGTTTTCTGTCATTTTTATCTTGTATTCATAGTCTTTTAATTTCTCAATTCTGTTGAAAAGTTCTGGAATATATTTTGTAATTTTTCTCAAACATAGTTTTTCAGTACTCACAGTTTTCTAAGCATTGATGCTATTAATCAGTTTTAGCAAGTTCAAGTCCTGTATTGCAGGTCTGCTAAGTAAATTTTCATGATTTTCCATGACATATACCTTGATTTTGTTATTATCCCCCTTATAACTGATTTGGAGTGTACATTTTCCAATAACATTTAATGGACATCCTCCTGGACCCTTCAATTTTACATTAGTACGTTTCAGTGTTGGTTTTTCTTTTAGATTATCATACGATGTCTTACTCAAAACTGTTACATCAGCACCTGTGTCAATCTTGAAAGATTGAAAGATATTTCTTCCTTTTAGTGCTATTTTCCATGCAGAATTCGAGCCACTCTGTATCTCTCCGACTATTTCGCCAACTTTAGAGTCTTCGGATGAGTCGTCAACTTCATTAACATGCTTGAATTTGCTAGTAGTTTGTCTCTGCGTTTTACACATTTTACTGTAGTGATCTTTCATTGAGCATTTTTGACAGCGTTCATTTAATGCAGGGCATTCTTTCAACCTATGACTTGGTTTTTTGCCGCATCGACCACATTATGGATAAGTTTTCGTTGATTGATTACCCACGTTTTATGATTTAGGCCTTTTCTGAGTAGAAATTCTACTTACTGAGAGGGAATTATCCTGTAGAGCTTTATTTTCCCATTTAATTCTTTCACTTTGGACTATTTTTGCTTTAGCCGATTCAAGTGTTAAGCTACTGTCTAACTGTAAGCTTTCGGATAACTTTTTATCTAAAATGCCAACAACAAGCTTATCCCTTATAAGGTCTTCGGATATAGTGCCATAATTGCAGGTCTTGCTTAGGGCTATAATGGAAGAACTAAATTCTTGAGCTGTTTCACCCTCTTGTTGCACTCTTTTATTAAACTTGGCTCTTTCAAAAATAACATTCACTTTCTTAATAAAGTAATCATTGAAGAATTGTTTTATATTACTAAATGTACTTATCTGTACATTAGTTGGACGGGTGCTATTCAAAAGTTGGTTAACTTCACGTCCCATATTGAGTAGGGGATTATCAACTTGTGCTTTTTCACTCATTTGGGCTGCATTTGTCACATTTCGGTATCGTTCATAATTCACTAACCCCGCATTCCATTCCACTGGCACAAAAGAGAACTTCTCTGGGGGTGGTACATTGGTCACTGTTGATGATTTATTGGTGCTAACTCCCAGCACTTGAATTTGAGCTAAAATTCGCTCCATTCTATCTAGTTGAGCTTGCAATTGCTAATTTTTTTGCTGAAGCTCTACCATTGCGAGTAATTTCTCTAAATTTTCCAGCTTGATGACATCTGAGGTTAGGCCACAGAATTTTTGAACTAAACTGAAATGAAACGGAACAAGCGAATTTTTAGGTTAACTTCAAATTCCAATATTACGTGAACTGAAAATAATATCAATGAGCGGTTTGCGAAAACTAACTTCTAAATTACGCAAATCATTCATTGATAACTTCTTCAGTTCGCGTATTATTGGAATCCAAAGTTAAATTAAAAATTCGCTTGTTCCGTTTCATTTGTCCAGCAGTTTATTTCCCTAATCCGACGATTTTACCCGAAAATTTTTACACCTGACACCATGTTACATAGTATAATGGCCATTTTCCCAGCACTGGTAAAGGATAGTTTAAGGATTCCTTAGTGGTAAGGCATCCTTAGCAGTAGCTTTTCGTTTGCTTTGCTCGTTAGTTGCCTCTTAAGGACTCCTTGTTTTGTGGGATTATTGTGTCAAAATAATGGAATTTTTGAACGAAGATTTAGATTTTTTTCGATATTATCTGAAACAGATTCTCACTTATGAAAGTGCTAATTACTGGATGGACAATTAACTTATTTTTTTAACAGGTTTCGGTCGAGGAACGAGACCATACAAAACATTATTCCTTAGATTGCGGATCGATTGGAAATGGATGGAGGTATAGAATACATGATCAATTTAACATAATAGGTTCACAGTTCACGTTCATATACCATGCAGTATTAATGAGGTTTGAAAGTTATATTTTTTGCCAAGCTGTCGTCATCCTGATTTACTTTGTATTCAAAAATACTACGAAGAAACCTGGGCATCCAAGGACATACTCTTATTAGTAATTTCTCTTGAAGGAACAATACAGTCAGTTCCTTTTAAACCAGCTACTCACAACTTTACGGTTTTAAGTGACAGGGGGGGCATCAAGTGTTGCAGATTTCATAGGAATGGATACCAGACAGTATCTAGGATAGTGAAGAGGACATCTGACATCTGAAGCATTGGCTTCAGCCTGTAGAGTTAACAAATATCAACATCAACTAGAAATAGAAACAAAAATTTTGATTATTTTCGACGTTCTTTTGACAGAAATGCAACGCTGCCAGACCGTACTTTGTTCTTTATTAAGGGTTGATCCTGAGGGCCGCTGAGCAACGCAACAAGTCTCAAGGGCTACTTAAAATATAAGTGTACCTTAACTATTTCTAACTTAAGGCAATTGCTGGGAAAACGGCCATAAGTTCAGTTAATTGATTGAGGTTTTAAAGTAAACTTCCAAATAAAACTGTGGGAGCGATTCATATACGAACTTTATTCTCTGACACAAGTGACATCACCTCTGAAACTCCCTCTATCTTTGACATATTATTATACAATTTTCGAACACTACTTTATTTAAAAAAATACATTCATGACGCTGACAATTAATCAATGTCATAGAATTCTTATGATTTTTTTTTTATTCACAAGAATAATTTTCTTGGAACCGCAGTAATCGATTCGATGCTAGTTTTTGTTCAGAAAAATTGTATTCTAAAGTGATATGCTTCAAGTTGACACTCAAATTAACGCGTGGAATAAATCGAAAAAAGATAAGAAACTAAAATTGCAATTGAAAAATATTGCCTCCATTATTCGAGCTTTGGAAATTGACTTTTTTGAGTCGCAAAAGAACGATCGTTTACTTTTGATGGCAGTTAGAAGAAAGACAACGGAAAATAGTTCGTTGCAAGTACAATTGGAAGAGTCTCGTAAAGAAAATCAACAGATTTCTGACATGGTGCAATTGAAAAACGAAGGTGGTGAATTGTCTCGAGATTGCTCAAATCTAGGTAGCATTTTTGTATTTTCTTTAAATTAATAAAAATGTATACATTTGTTCCAGGTTCTAGTATTTCCACAATAAGTTTAATACATTTACAATACAAATACGAAGAATTAGTGTCTTATAATAGAGGACTTCTTAAAATTCTAGAAACAAAAAGTGCGGATGCAAAAAAGTATATAAAAGAAAATCAAGAACTTCAAGACCAAATTCAAAAATTAACCATCGAGTCGGGAAGTTGTGAAGACAAAGTTGCATTTTTGCAAAGAAAACTGTCAGACTACAAGAAACGGAAACACGATAAAATATCCAAATTAAAAGCCGAAAGGCAAACATTAGCTTTGGTGCATCGCAGATTGGTGGCTTTATTGCATAGACAATGCATGGAAAAGAATGATTTTATTAAGTCCTTACTGAAAACAACCACAAGAAGCGAAAAGGGATTATTATTGCAAGAAATAAGGAAAAATAACATGTTGGCTTATGAGAATTTCCAATTGCAACAAGAACTGCAATATTTAAGGTCTTTGTTTAATTTATCAAGGGTCAATTCAAAAGGGACTATGGTTGAGTTTAAGCATTCAATGGAGACGGTTCATAGTAAAGAGAGTACGCAAAGTAAACAAAGTGCTTCTACAGAATCTGTACGGAGTAGTAATAAATTTTTGAAGAAACTTCAAGATTCAAAAAAATCCGGAGGAGGCGCAAAAATTTAAAATGCACCCATTTTATAGTAAATTTTGCAATAGGATTTTTGTTATTAAGTAGAAAACAAGTTTTTTTTTTCCTTCAAATTCAATATACATATTATTCATTTCATTTGCCAAATTATTCTGAGTATACTCAAAATACAAGAACATCGTTCCCCGCTGCGGCACGGATAAACGCAAAATTAATTCATCAGATAATGGCCTCAGCCATAACAATTCCAAATAATGCCATAAATTTTGCCGTACCACTATCCCATCTCTGATGGCATGGGATAAACCATGAAAACGACGCAATTATTGTCTCTTTTGTGTAATTGTGGGTGGTGTACGTATTATAAATCATCATGTGCATTCTCTTCCACGTTTAATAAATGCTGCAAAATAATACAATAATAATGATAATTAAAATATATTGATGTTTTTTTTAAACGGATAATTATGCTTTTATTATTTTCATTATTACTATTCAAGATCGGTAATAAATAACAGTGTTTATTACATACAAAAGTAAGCACAAATATCGAAACCTGAAGATTCGAGAATTATCATGTTCATTTAATAAACAAAGATATGCAGAATATTCTAATGCTGATCACAAAAAATTATTGTTCTTCATCAAAAATGAAATGTTGTTGTAAATTACATGCCTATTACATGATAGGAACAATAAACTAAGTATTGAGATAAAGACAGAAAATCGATAAAGGCGTGAAAATCAAACGCAACATTATATCATTTAATGGCGGCTACAGAGTATGGGTGTTACCTTTTATTAGGTTTCGTGTAATTACTTGACGTATTTGTCGTGTATATCTGTTGTCGGGGGCTAATTGTTCGGAACGGATCTATAAAGTTACGCAATTATGTAACCAAAGTTACCACTCAACCAAGTGTGGGTACACGTGATCTATACCATTTCCAGGATTATTTAACACTAGTGAAATTTAATTTCAAATTCATGAAAACCAAATTCACATCAGTGAAATCTAATTTCGCTCAAATGAAAATTGATTTCAAAGTAACGAAAACTAATTTCTCACAAACGAAATTTGATTTCACATTTTTGAAAATGAATTTCAAACTGACCCTAATCAATACTTATTTTTCAAATATTTATTATTTCAATTTGAAAAAAACATCAACAGCGTTATTTATTTCAACCTACTGAAATAATCCCATTGAGTTTAGAAAACTGTGGTTTAGATAACATAAAATACAATCATGAAAAAATAATAATAATTATGAATTATTTAAATAAATTAAACTTCAGTTTAGCAAATCACGTGGAAAGGTATAATGCAGCTATCTCAAGAGTGAGAAGATTCAACTGAAGTTCAATTTATTTAAATAATTTATAATTATTATTGTTAATTGTTTCATGAGTGTATTTTATCTAAGTGAAGTTCGTGTCCTATCGGTATCCAATGAAGAGGGTGATTCGTCGGTTAGGATAAAAAAAATAATAAAAAATTTGTCTTTTCACAATTTTATCAATGTATTGCGATTTTGTTATGTGCAATTGAATGTTCCATCCTGAAAAATCTCGCACTATTTTATATAATTCTAGCCACATAATTTTTTAAGTACAAGGCATGTAAACTTCAGTTTTTTGTTAGCACTTTTTTGATGTTCCTAATATATATTTTAGCCCTGATGAAGCCCAAAACTTTTGGGCAAAACGTTGGCAAAGACTTGACAGGCTGTTTTTTTTTTGTCCCAACCGACGAATCACCCCCTTCATTGTATTTTATGTTATGTGAACTCAGTGGGTTTATTTCATTAGGGTGAAATAAATAACATTTAATGATGTTTTTTTCAAATTAAAATAATAAATGTTTGAAAAATTACTATTAATTAGGGTCAGTTTGAAATTCATTTTCAAAAATGAGAAATCAAATTTCGTTTGTGAGAAATTAGTTTTCGTTACTTTGAAATCAATTTTCATTTGAGCGGAATTAGATTTCACTGATGTGATTTAGTTTTAATTAATTTGAAATCAAATTTCACTAGTGTGAAATAATACTGGAAATGGTATAGAGGTGTCTTATTGATAGATTTATGAATGGGTTTTTTTTAATCGTGACATAAGCCGACATAAAATAGATAGAATAACCAGGATTTCAGAGGTTTATAAAGCCTCTCATCTAGTGTCTTTGCTGGCAAGGCTAGCTTCCATTAAATCCTCTTGTTCCAGTTTTCAAAGCCGTTTGAAATCATTCTTGTAAAATGCATTATCTCCGAGGCTAGATATTAGACAATGAACAAAAAGGCAAACTGATATAATAAAGATATAACTGCATGAATACCTTATTTAATTTTGAATAAAGTCTTTCTCTGCAATTTCTTGAGAGCCTTCGTGGCATGTGATTTTCAGTCGGATTGTATTAACTGCGATATTTGTGCCAATTTTTTCTTTAATATTTGTCCGCTCAAAAAATACAAAGTCTATACTACCTAGGCGGTACCATTGGCGGAAGAAATTGAGCGACTAACCTAATACTTGATAACATTAATATGCAGAGTAGCAAGATACGAGATCTGATAAATCACATACAACTCGATATCAACTTTGCACAATCAGACATTATGCATTATACTATTGCAGCAAAATGAACTCAACAAGATTCTCAAAAATATACACAAGAATCAGCAAATGCCATTTGACAATGTAATGAAGTACCTTCTACGAAACAATGTCGACCACAGTAAGCATTCAAATGGAATTGATTATATTTACAATCTATACGGTAAAAATAAATCCAAAACCTTTTTTGATGTATAAACTCTATCCTATTCCTATTCAGAATTATACCATTAATATCAAGCATCCCTATTTGTTAGCTGCAACAGACAAGTCTATGCAACAGACACATATTTTTAATGCTTTTAATAAGTACCGTAATGTCGAAGGCGTATACTTATGCAATTTTGAGACAATAACCCAAACTGAACCCTGTGTTCACAGCATCATTAATAATAGTGAACAACAAACATGCCCTTTCTTGAAAATCGACTATGAAGAACTGACAGTTCAAGAACTACCTAACAATCAGTTATTGTTAATTCCCAAAAGAAGTTTGACAGCAGTTATGAAGGGCAATCAAAAGAAGTACATCGAGATAATTGCCAGTTCTACCCTAATCTCCAGGAGAAAATGTTCGGTGACTCTCAATAATCACACATTTTCCGAAGACATTTAAGAAAACTTCAATTTGGAACTCAAGATACCGAAAATAGACATTCCTATTTTTCCTGGAAACATCACGACGGTCAAACTAAAAACAGTAGACCATGAAGCACTTCAAGAAGCTCTACAAGAAGCATCACAACTTGAAGTTCGACCCTTAAAAGAGTTTAACCTTTGTAAATCCACATATGTAATTATAATTTTAACTGTAATTTTTATAATTATAACCATTTTTTATTTAAAACATAAATTTAGGAAAAAATGTGAAAACCGAGGTTCAAATTGAGTTGCCTAACCTGGTACATCAACCCGAATTTGCAACCACCTAAGGAGGGAGGAATTAGGTATATTGTCCCAATAAAGACCCTTTTGTTCCCTTAAAACAATAATATATCTATATATATTAGAGGTGGAGAACTATGGATGGCGCTATCGATAGCTATCGATAGTATTGACTATCGAAATATATCGATAGTTTTTTTTAACTATCGATAGTTTTCGATAGTTGGCTGTAGCGCTTATTAGTAAGCGAAAGTTAGGGTAGGTGCACAAAACTGAACTGCAAAAATGCAAAACAAAATAGTTATAACTGGTTTGGAAACCTTTTTTGATCTACTTGCTTTATTTTTCAGGGACAATGGAAAGTTTTCTCGTCTAAAAGCCAAAAATGTTGAAATGATAATGATAATGATTTTATACGAAATTTCTAGGCTTTTAGAATAAGATATTTTTAGTTTTAGAAAAAAATATTTTCTCCGCAAATGAAAGATCAAAGGCGGGATTCTGTAACAGATAGAGTTCGTTATTCCTATCGCTATGGCATTTGCTGTCTTCTTCTCTCTTTTCGAAATCAATAGAGGGGACGTACATCAATAGAGATAGCGAAAACCATGCGAAATCTCTATTCCTTTCAGAATTTCACTGCACATGTTGATGTTAAAGTTTAATATTTAGCTATTTCCTAGAATCAAAGATTTTCAGTACACAGATACCTTTCTTTTTACCTTATAACTTGTATTTAATAACTATCGAAAACTATCGATATTTATCGATAGTCAAGGTCCCGACTATCGATAACTATCGATGGTCATGACTCCATGTTCTCCACCTCTAATATATATAAACTGATTAGAAAATTTTGGATTAATTTTCTTTGCTTTTCCATCCATAGATGCGTTTCGACCTATATCAGGTCTTATCAGTATGGCTAGGAAAAGCAAAGAAAACCAATCCAATTTTTGTGCATCTATGCAAAATACAAGTAGTAAGACGGTCGAAATTTGATCGTGGCGCCATCTAAGACAAGGATTCAACACTAAACAGCAATTTTTGCTGTATTAGTGATGCCATCTAATTGGCCGACCAAAAATCAGTTCGTGGGGAAAACCCAAAATAGGAAAAAAAGATTTCTCCTTATTATACACTGATTAGAAAATTTTGGATTAATTTTCTTTGCTTTTCCATCCATAGACGCGTTTCGACCTATATCAGGTCTCATCAGTATGGCTAGGAAAAGCAAAGAAAACCAATCCAATTTTTGTGCATCTATGCAAAATACAAGTAGTAAGACGGTCGAAATTTGATCGTGGCGCCATCTAAGACAAGGATTCAACACTAAACAGCAATTTTTGCTGTATTAGTGATGCCATCTAATTGGCCGACCAAAAATCAGTTCGTTAGGAAAACCCAAAATAGGAAAAAAAGATTTCTCCTTATTATACAGTGATTAGAAAATTTTGGATTAATTTTCTTAGCTTTTCCATCCATAGACGCGTTTCGACCTATATCAGGTCTCATCAGTATGGCTAGGAAAAGCAAAGAAAACCAATTCATTTTTTTTGCATCTATGCAAAATACAAGTAGTAAGATGGTCGAAATTTGATCGTGGCGCCATCTAAGACAAGGATTCAACACTAAACAGCAATTTTTGCTGTATTAGTGATGCCATCTAATTGGCCGACCAAAAATCAGTTCGTGGGAAAAACCCAAAATAGGAAAAAAAGATTTCTCCTTATTATACACTGATTAGAAAATTTTGGATTAATTTTCTTTGCTTTTACATCCATAGACGCGTTTCGACCTATATCAGGTCTCATCAGTATGGCTAGGAAAAGCAAAGAATACCAATCCAATTTTTGTGCATCTATGCAAAATACAAGTAGTAAGACGGTCGAAATTTGATCGTGGCGCCATCTAAGACAAGGATTCAATACTAAACAGCAATTTTTGCTGTATTAGTGATGCCATCTAATTGGCTGACCAAAAATCAGTTCGTGGGGAAAACCCAAAATAGGAAAAAAAGATTTCTCCTTATTATACACTGATTAGAAAATTTTGGATTAATTTTCTTTGCTTTTCCATCCATAGACGCGTTTCGACCTATATCAGGTCTCATCAGTATGGCTAGGAAAAGCAAAGAATACCAATCCAATTTTTGGTGCATCTATGCAAAATACAAGTAGTAAGACTGTCGAAATTTGATCGTGGCGCCATCTAAGACAAGAATTCAACACTAAACAGCAATTTTTGCTGTATTAGTGATGCCATCTAATTGGCCGACCAAAAATCAGTTCGTTAGGAAAACCCAAAATAGGAAAAAAAGATTTCTCCTTATTATACAGTGATTAGAAAATTTTGGATTAATTTTCTTAGCTTTTCCATCCATAGACGCGTTTCGACCTATATCAGGTCTCATCAGTATGGCTAGGAAAAGCAAAGAAAATCAATCCAATTTTTGTGCATCTATGCAAAATACAAGTAGTAAGACGGTCGAAATTTGATCGTGGCGCCATCTAAGACAAGGATTCAACACTAAACAGCAATTTTTGCTGTATTAGTGATGCCATCTAATTGGCCGACCAAAAATCAGTTCGTTGGGAAAACCCAAAATAGGAAAAAAAGGTTTCTCCTTATTATACACTGATTAGAAAATTTTGGATTAATTTTCTTTGCTTTTCCATCCATAGACGCGTTTCGACCTATATCAGTATATTTTGGGTTTTCCCAACGAACTGATTTTTGGTCGGCCAATTAGATGGCATCACTAATACAGCAAAAATTGCTGTTTAGTGTTGAATCCTTGTCTTAGATGGCGCCACGATCAAATTTCGACCGTCTTACTACTTGTATTTTGCATAGATGCACAAAAATTGGATTGGTTTTCTTTGCTTTTCCTAGCCATACTGATGAGACCTGATATAGGTCGAAATGCGTCTATGGATGGAAAAGCAAAGAAAATTAATCCAAAATGTTCTAATCAGTGTATAATAAGGAGAAATCTTTTTTTCCTATTTTGGGTTTTCCCAACGAACTGATTTTTGGTCGGCGAATTAGATGGCATCACTAATACAGCAAAAATTGCTGTTTAGTGTTGAATCCTTGTCTTAGATGGCGCCACGATCAAATTTCGAACGTCTTATATATATAAAAATTAAAGTTTACGGGGTATCCGGATATGCGCTCCAAAACCACTTATCCGATTACGATGAAACTTTGGTAGGTTGTTATGGCCATCCCAAGGAAGGTTTGTGGATAGGTTACGCATCTCGGAAAAAGAAATTAATTTTAAATTAATTATTAATCTAATTGTAAACAAACTCATTCACATTACATAACATCATAACCCAACTTTTTTTGACAGCATGAAATAACGTTGCCATATTTCTTTATTTAGGCTTGCATTCAACCGACGTAACTTTATTATTTTTTGAATTCAAGAACGGCTGGACCGATCTTGAATTAATACCACGTATCTCTATATAAGGTGAATTCGATTGACCCAGATTAGAACGATTTGGGTTCAATTTAAGTGAACTTCTTCTGATCTAGATCATTTTTTTGTTGATAAGGGTGCACTGATCCAGCTTGAATCGAACACAGTGTGGTTCATTTAAATTGAACCAGATCGATCTAATCCGGTCAATCGAATCGGCTATAGAGGAGAGTGATATAGGCTATTTTTTATCCCGAAAAAAAAAAGTTCGGTTGCGTAAAACTCTGATACACTGGAACGCCTATAAACAGCCCGGGGCGCTCTAGAGCAGCTCTGAAGTGCTGAAAATGCGTCACTGAACTCACTGGCAAGCGACTCTGATATCGGATTAAAAAAAAAAAAAATTAAATAGAAAATCAACAACAAAATTTGAAAAGAAGTGTATTATTTCAAAATGTATTTACACGCTGGCAACGCAGCGGGTCATTAGCTAGTAAATAATAAAATACGCACGCAGCTACTGTTTTGCATTCAAAATTTCCTCGCAGTAATTAGTTTCACTTAGAATAGTTTTAAAGTTTTCATTTGTAATACTTAGTTTTGAAAATAAGTAGTTTTTAATAACAAAGTTCACCAAAGTGGAAACTTAATTTTTCTTCGAACCCTATTTATTTTCTATTATACCTCCTTATAAATCAAAATATTTGTTTTTTTCCAGGTCTATACACAAACGAACTCTCGGAAGCCCACGAAACGATACCAATAAAAGTCAATGAAAACGGTGACCATCTATCCCACAATCTTACTCATCACTTTTCCGACTACGATGAGCCAGTAAGATTCAATTTAACGATCTTCGAGCACGACCACCATCTAATCCTTAGTCCCAGTAATGAGTTTTTGGCTCCAAACGTTTACATAGAATGGAGGAAGCCGGACAGGCACGTGAGAAAAAAACCAACAAATACTTTTTGTCACTATCAAGGATTTGTTCATGGCGATAGCATGAGTCGGGTGGCGATTTCCGCTTGCAATGGACTGGTAAGTGATACTATTTTTGTATTTTCAGCTAAATAAATCACCCAAAAAAGATAACCATATATTTAAGTAAACTTTTTCTATACATAATAATATGACACTTAAAGAACTCACTCTCCGCATCCGAAAATATTTCCACCATTTCCAATAAAACGTGTTCTTCGAACTGACAATGGCACCCCTAAGAGGGTCATTTCTTTGTACCTGTCCCTTCCATACTCCCAGAGACCTTTATCGTATCCCGTTTCATTGCCAGATAGGGAGTCATTATTATTCAAAAGGAAGAGCACTTATATCGGGACGTGGCATTTATTTACGCTCCTTCGATAAATCACGAACTATAAGATTTCCTTCATTAATTCACCTTTACTCATTTCTTGTGGTGTTTAATAAAGCACGGCTGTTGATGTTACAATATTGGAGTGTTTGGCAAGTCAAATATTGAACTTTCTTACACTTGAAGAAAAGTATTCTGTTATTAAACATATTAAATTTTCAACTGCTGTTGGTGATTTTGAAAGTCTATACCCAAGACCCAATTCAGCATTGGTTTTGCCGTAGGCACACTGGTATGTTAGAAATCCGCCCAGCTTAACACTTGCGTACCTGCCAATGTTGAGTTTGGAGTAGTGCGATTGTTGCGATTCAACTGCTCTAGAAACGGTGTGAGATGTAACCGTAGATGCGGAATCATTTTAGTGTTTCTGTTCTGTGCATGAAATCCTCTCTAGAACATCAAGTATATAACAGTCAAAATTCAGATGAATGCGGAAAAATGAAGAAGGCCAAGAAAAAAACTGACATTGGTTATTCCAAAAGAACTAGTAGCCCTCAGAGATAAAATAATTGGAATGAAAAACCTTTAGAAGAGACACAAGTATACCAAATGTCGGAAATTATTCAACAAGACTTGAGGTCTGCATCCAAAAATTATCGGTAAAGAAAATTGAACTGAAGGGATTGCAAATATTCTTCAAGGACAGAAGTGCAGATTATTAAAGATAAAAAGACTATGGTGTAAGGAAATCTTGTAGGAAATTTATATACTATGACTTTTAATCCAGCATGCAATGTTAAACATTCCACAACAAGTCTTATAAGCTTCATCGACTATTATATAATTTAAGTGTGTTGGATTTTCGTAGCATGCAGACGTTTTAATTAAAATTTATGAAAACTTTTTCTTGGCTAGGATATGAACCCAGGACCCTCGCATTTCCAGTGCAAGGCTCTACCAACTGACCTACCAAGACCTGTTTCATTTCTATCTTGTCGGTTGAGTTTTTCATCAATTTTAAGTTGTTAGTTGTGAAAACCAACGGTAACCTTCGGCGGTTATCGTTGGTATGGGAGTGAGTTAGAAGGTATAAGGGGAACATAATCGCAGTGAATAGCGACTTCAGCAGGTATCGGGATGGGACGCCCAACCATCAATAACAAGCCAATCATTTTACAATTTTCACAAGTGTTATCGTCTGTTATATAATTTAAGTGTGTTGGATTTTCGTGGCATACAGATGTTTCAATTTAATGAAAAATTTTTCTTGCCTCGACTACGATTTGAACCCAGGACCCTCGCATTTCCAGTGCAACGCTCTACCAACTGAGCTACCAACACCGGTTTCATTTCTTCCTTGTCGGTCAAGTCTTTCATCAATTTCAAGTTGTTAGTTGTGAAGACTGAAATGAAATGAAACAGGTCTGGGTAGTTCAGTTGGTAGAGCGTTGCACTGGAAATGCGAGGATCCTGGGTTCAAATCCTAGTCGAGGCAAGAAAAATTTTTCATTAATTTTAATTAAAACGTCTGCATGCCACGAAAATTCAACACACGGATTTATGGCATCGTAGAATGGGCCATGCATCAAAATATCCATCTGTAGGGAAACTAAACCCAAGCTTCATACAAAATCTTGGATGAAAGCAGGGAACCCAGCAAAATATTGGAAGTGATATCGACTGATGTGTGTGGTCCATTAACACCAGAATCAAATTATAGTAAACGATACTTTGTAACTTTTATAGATCACTATTCGCATTTTGCAGCTTGTTACTTCTTGAGCCATGAAAGTGAAGTTTTCGCTAAATTCAGTATCTATGTTGCCTTGGTAGAAAATAAATTTAATTCCAAAATTCAACGACTCAGATATGATAATGGCGGCGAGTATGTGTCATATGAATTCAAAAAGTCTGTCCACAAAAAGGAATTCATTTAGAGTAAAGGTTCAACACCGGTTCTAGGCCAAAATCAGTCATTTTTACATGTAACTCTCCATAAGAAAATCTAAGGTCCATTCTGCGACTTTTTGTACCATTTTGGAGTGGGGGTAAAATTTCCAGGAATAAGCCCGGCCTCCTTTCCAGTACCCGTGTCTTTCATCGATAGCTGGTTAGTAGCCGCAGCTTCAGGGTCCTTGACCGTACCTAACCCACATAGCACCTCGTGACTTGGTTCCCCATTCAAGGTATCTCGTACTGATAATGACGTAACTAATAATAAAATCGTCGTTTCGCCATCGTGTCATCATCCTTGTCGTCGTCGATGTCAATCACTCGAAATAATTTCTGTATTAAAAAAAGTCTGCTGTTTCCAAGGATCGAACCTGGGATCAACATTTTACCCCCACTCCAAAATAGTACAAAAAGTCGCAGAATGGACCTTAGATTTTCATATGGAAATTTACATGTAAAAATGGCCTAGAACCGGTGTTGCACCTTTACTATTTAGAATACACAGTCAAGTACACACCGCAACAAAACAGTGTGGCAGAAAGGCTAAACAGGACAATTATGGAAAAAGCCAGATGTTTAATTTTTGAAGCTGGTCTACCAAAAGAATTTTGGAAAGATGCTGTGGGAACAGCAAAATATTCGTGAAAATATTAAATAGCAGACTTTACCTAGACAATTGTAAGACTATGATTTGAATGACCAAGACGAAGAAGAATTTATGTTAGCTTGTTCGATGCATGCAAAATTTATCTTCAGAAATACCTCAATCATATGAAGGAGCAATAAGTAGTGACCCAAGATGGAGAGGCACCATAAACAATAAACTGAACGCCCTCGACAAAAATCAAACATAGACTCTAGTGCCCAAATACAGTGTCCGATAGTGAAATGGTTATCGACTCAAAATGGATTTTTCGTGAAAAATAACTTATGATGGAAAATGGTAGTGCAAAAATGATGAAAGCAAGACTAGTAGCTAGAGGCTATCTGTTATCAAATTTAGAAGGTGAAGTAGGTATATGCTCCAGTTGCCCGAATGCTAACTATAAGAATCAAAGAAAATTTGATAAATCATCAGTTAGATGTCAAAAGTGCTTTTAAATGGTACTTTAAAGCAGCCAGTTTACATGCAGATTCCTTAAGGACTAAATGTAAGTTATGATCTTGTTTGTAAATTGGAAAAAGCTTTGTACGGATTAAGGGAATCGCCTGAATGTTGGTACGAAAAGTTCAACAATTATATGTTAGAAATTGGTTTTAAAAAATCAAAAAGTAATATATGTCTCTATTTCAAAGAATCTATTTATCTTTGCATGTCGAAGATCTGATTATTATTGGTGACTTGAAAGTAATACTTCAAGATGAATCTTATGAAAAAATTTGAAATGCAAGATCTGTCAATGATAAAAATTTAAAATTTTTAGGTTTAAATCTATGTATATAAAAATTAATGCCACTTTTCGTTGTAATTTTATAACTCAAGAACGGGCTCACCTAGCCAAACCAAATGTTTAGGCTTTGTTCGGACTATTTATTAGATGGTTTATGTGAAGTTTGCATAAAATCGGTCGAGCGGTTCTTCATTTATCACATTTTTGGTAATAAATGAATTATTCAATAAATGGAGGATCATTTTGTTAACATTATTATCTATATATATATAAAACACAGTTGTGTTGGTTCTAGCACTTATAACTCGAGAACAGCTGGACTGATTTTCATGATTCATGACCATACTAACGTAATAAATCGAAAAAATCCAAAAAAAAAAAGATAAAAAACAAAATTACCTATTTTACTTATTTATGAAAAAAATTCACTAAGCCCGCATCTCTTATAACCGATACCAAGTTTACCGCCACATTTTCATTGCAAACCATTTTATATACGGCGCTATCTCTGATACCTAGAACGAAGCTCGGCGTGCGGGGTAATTTCATTGCAGATACAGTAGAACAATGCTACTCAGGAACTGGAGCTATTCCGAACAGAACTATTCCACTATTCCGATCAGATAGAGTGGTGCATAAAGAGTAGATCAGATAGAATAGTGCAGATAGAGTAGAACAGATGGAGTAGTGCAGTGCAGAGAGAGTGAAATAGGGCTGCGCTGGAGATTTTTTTGTTTTATTTACATTCTTTGAACATTCCTGTGCCTCAGTTTATTTATTTGATGGTACACTACAAGAATAATGCCCTCAAGCTGCCTAAAAAGGGATGATGTAAAATTTTAATTTTAGGTGACTTCTGATCCAGAGAGTAAACATTAATTTTTTTCAACCAAAGCCAAATTCATCATCGAAAAAAACTGAATTTAATGCAGCTAATAGATACGTTCACACAACATTTAATAGGTATTTAATAATTCAGAGGCGGTACGAAGTTCGCCGGGTCAGCTAGTATTATTATAAATAAGAAAAGCATTGTAATTCATCAAAAAGATTTGGTTTTGTCTTTGTCTTCATAGGCTTCCTGCACTTCATCATTTACAGAATGTTGGTATCGTGTTGTTATACTTCTTTCCTTCACGAAATACTGTGTAATTTCGTATTTTCTTTAATGAGATCATTGTCTCAATCATTGCAGGTGTTCGAAGTCAGAAGTGCTCGAATGTTGCTGGATAATTTTTGTTAAAATACTGATTCTTCTTCTTCCAATGCGTATCCACTAATGGATATTTGCGATAACATTTTCCATTGCTTCTCTATTCCTTGCGGTGTGTATTAACGACTGCACTTCATGTAGCCCTGTCCACTGTCTGATTTTTCGCAACCAAGACATTTTTTTTCTTCCGATCCCTCTCCGGCCTTCGATCAACAGGTGCAAGAATTGGTATTTCGTGTTTCGCATTATATGTCCCAGATATGCCGTTTTTCTCTTTTTAACCAATTCAAACAGTTCACGTTGTTTGTTGACACGTCTTAAGACTTCTTCGTTTGTTAGTCTAGCCGTCCAAGGTATCTTAAGGATTCTGCAATACAGTCACATTTCGAAATCCTCTAATTTATTAATTGCAGTCACCCTTAATGTCCAACCTTCCATACCGTAAAGAAGCACTGACCGAACGTAGCATTTAATAAATCTGAGTCTTAGGTTAAGGTCAAAATCGGAACAGGTAAGCGCTCTTCGGAACCTCAAGAATGCCTGTCGAGCTTGTTCAATGCGACATTTTATTTCCTTGTCTGATGTTCAGTCTTCGAAAAGCCAGATGCCCAAGTACTTAAATTTATCTACTCTCTCTATGGGCCTTGCTTTAAATGTAATGGTGGAGTTTTCAAACATATTTGGGTTTCTACAGATAGGTAATCATAAACGCGATCGAATGCCTTTTCGTAATTTATGAAACATAGGCACACATCCTTTTTCTGATCTTAGTAGTTTTGGACCCCTGTCTAAACCCAAATTGCGAGTCGCTTATGTCTCTTTCACATTTCTTGTAAATTCTCTGGTAGTAGAGTGCCCAACGCAGTTAAAGCCTCCTAAAAATGAGTTTTGTGGGCGCGTCGGGGTTAAAAGCTGAAACTTGCACAGAATGAAGGTTTTATTATGTTAATTCAAAATCCCAAGGTAATACAAAATCAGAATGGGCAAAAGGGCAGTATACTTAAAAATTGAGATTATTATATGAACGTATAGAATAGTAATTTATGACTGTTCTCATATAAAATTTATCGATATATTTGTTCAAATTATATTTTTTATTATTGCTTCAAATAAGCCGAATACATTGGCCCTTACTAAAAATTAAAATATCTCCGTTCAAACCTGAGCAAAATCTAATTGAAATATACAAATTTTTGCATTCACCTTGCATTATCTCCGAAATAAACGCTCAAATCAAAATTTTTCTGTCTTGCAAAAAGTTTCCGCCATGTATCTAGATTATATAATATGTCCAAGAATAATTTTTTTGTCTTGAATTTTAACACAAATATAGAATTAAACATAGAAAAAGTAATTTTCTTCTAGCCGGGACAGCCCGCTCTCGCGCTGCACCAGTACTCTTCCATCTCACTTTCCTCCGTAGCTCCCTCTCTCTCTCGCCAATTGTAAAATACAATATTCACGTTCACGTATTACGTTTGAATTCTGATTTCAAAATGTTCAAACCAATCAAACCTCAATTGCTCGGTAACCGTTGAGCAAATTGCATTAAAATTTTCAGCATTTGTAGCTCTTATTAAGCTCTAAATGGCCTGCAATTAACAATATTCCCAGATTTATAGTTGTTGAGCAAATTGAGTTTGAAGTTTTTGACAAAATTTTTACTAAAAGTCAACTTTGAGGCTCAATTGCTCAAAAACTATTTGAACTATCAAACTATTTGGACTATCAAACTCAGCACAGATTTATAGAGAATTTAATGCTCTTTCCAATGGTGTATAATTTAATTCAATTTGCTCAAAATTTAACAAAAATATGGGCAATTGTTCATGACCATGTCAAGATTTTCAAAATTTTTTAGAGCCAAAATAGTTATTTATGATATAAGTGTTGAAAGTACATTTTTAAGGCACGCATGTGAAAGTTTGCAGAATGAGCGAAGTGCCTTATTAAAAATACTTTTAACACAAATATCATACAATATTTTTTCTACAAACGGCAATAAACAGCAATAACCAGTAACAAAATTGGATTTTTAAATGAATAATAAATTGGAAGCATCTTTTTTACATAAAATTATTGAATTTGACATTTGTCAAAAAATCCAAACAACCAGCACCTTGTCTTACAGGTAATGAAATGTCTTGTCAGTTTCTTGAAAGTCTGTCGTGGTCAGTAATGCTCACAGGTAATGCTTTTTGCTAAAAATGCAACAAAATACAGAAGAAAAAGAGGGTTGCATTGATCCCTTGAAAAATATAGATGAGACGGCCAATCGGGCTACCTCAGTTGTTCAAATTTCACCATTAATATCAATGTAAATAATTAAAAATACATACGTTCAAAATTTGATGTTTCATTTTTAACACTAGTGCTATAAAGACTTTATGGCACTAGTGCGATAAAGTAACATTTTTAATGCTACGGGGGGGTGTTAAAAATTGCATTTTTAACACGTTTGTAGAAAAATAGGTTTTTTTTTATTTTTTTTTATTTTTTTTCTGCTCAAAATGGCCATTTGAAATTGATGTCAGGGTTATTTTCCACTAATATTGACCCGCCCTATCGACTAATCTACCATTACGAAGTGTATGACAACAGTCATAAATTAATATTCTATACATGCATGCAATAATCTCAATTTTTAAACTTACTGCTCTTTTGCCCGTTCTGATTTTGTAGTACCTTGGGATTTTGAATTAACATAATAAAACCTTTATTCTGTGAAAATTTCAGCTTGTAACTGTAACTCTGATGCGCCCACAAAAGTCAAAATATATTATAAGGAGCACTTGCAAAATCCCATAACATATTAGTTAATTCTTAAACTTAAATTTATGCTTCACAGAAAATATTTCATGTAAAAACTTTGAATTCAATTTTCGGGGACATCCCATACTCGTACAAAGAAGTAACCATAAGCAGAAATGCTTGTTTTCAGGTATAGAATAACATACTGCAGTTTTAAAAAAAATCGACCGATCACCAGGATTCTAATATTTAGTGCCATGTCCTTTGCCATTTCAATGGACTTATATTATACCAAATTCTTCACTCGTTTCCGCTGTCACCATATAACATTATTATAATGATCTAATAGTAATAAACTATTTTCAATGAACTTTAAAGTTGGAAAATAAATAGCAGGGTACTTGCATGGAAAATTAAATTGATTATTGTTTATTGCAAATTGTAGGAAATCGAAAAAAAAATCGTTACTTTTTTTTATTTCGCCCAAATATGATTATTCCGGAAGTTATTCAAATATTAAGTTTTGTATATATAGACATACTGCGCATGTGCAACGTCACTTATTTATTAGATAAGTGACGTCATAGCCAGATTTCATAGTGTTGTATATCCGTCAATTTTTGACTAAGAAGAAAAAGAAAAAACACGTGTTAACTTATTTTTCATGAACTATCGAAATCAGTAATAAAAAAATTTGATGCAAGGAGCCTCATCCAGTATGCACTCAGACAGAACCAGGGGTTTCTTTGACGAAAATAACAGAAAAGCTTGTTGAAATAGGGCATCATTGACTATGTTGTTCGATCATCAATAATAAGTTATACAGATTCTACAATTTTATTGGTATACCTACTCTTTCGCTTTGTTTTCTTATCGTCCATATTATACTATCACATAAGTATCTACTTACCACTAGTTGATGTTGTCCCCACTTTCCACATTTCGTTCTCACTTCGGTAGCTACCTATTTAAAAATCTATATTTCATCTTTATTTTTAACAATAATTAAGTAATACACTGTATTTTATAATTTATAATACACACACACATCAATCTCGGCTTTATAATTTTCTCTGATTAAATAATAACAAAATAGTTTATGGTGGTCGTAAGTAGTAATTAACATAAGCGTAGGCCTTTAATATCAGAGGAATGAATAACGAGCTGCTGCGTTTACGAAGAGGCTCTCTCGTATCATTTTATTAATGGACAGGTATCGGAGTTAACCGCACCGATTGCCATAAAGCATACAGCAAAGGTTCGGTAATTATGGCGTTTGAGGCTTTGAAGCCAGTTTATCTGGCTTGGAATTATTGCAGAAATTAATGCTAAATATAGCGAGATCGGCTTTACGATTTAAGTTAACTGAGTTGTACGTGTCTTTTTAATATTTATTAATGCAATCCACAAACCTTACAAATCGTTTCTTCAATCTTCTAGAGATTCAATCTGGTTAAAGATCAACTGGTGAATTGTACTTATTGGTTTTGAGAATGTTATTTTTCAATAACATAACAGTTACGATTAATATTGGTTTCTTTTTGATATTTAGGCTGGTATGATTCAAACGCAGCATGGCAAATACTACGTTGAACCAGCCTACCATGCTGAAAAATCCGTCAGTCCTGGCCATAAGCATTTAATATTCAAACGATCAGCAGTAATAAACAGCATGCCTGAAACTGTGTCAACTAAAAAGAAGAGGAAAAAGAAACGAAAGAAATATCACCACCAATCCAGCTGTGGAACAAGAGAACCAAAAAAATTTACAGAGTAAGCATTTTTAATTTAATAGACATATAAATAATTAAATTAAATGACTGATTATTTCAGAATCGAATGGCAGAAGCAGCTAGGCAAAATCCGAGTCCAAGAACGAAAACACAAAAACAACAAATCGCAAAACAAAGTTAAAATACGAAACGTAAAACAATCACAATTGAAGAAACTAAAATACAAACTCGTAAATTCTGTAAGGCAAAAGAGGTCCGTTAGTCAGCCACATTTTGTGGAGACTGCTATAGTTGCTGAAGCTAGTATGGTAGAGTTTCACCAGGATGGTGACATTGAAACCTATATTTTGACTTTGATGAATATGGTAAGCATTTATGTACTCTATTCCCTTTCATAAAGCTTTTATTTAAATCGAAATAGCTATTTATGTACCAAGGGGATTATGTAGATTATAATGCCCGAAGGCGAAACTAGCCCGAGGGCCTATGGCCCGAGGGATATATTTCGCCTGAAGGGCATTATAATCTTGAAATCCCCGTGGTGCATACAATGCTTTATTTTCTACTCAACACAATGTTTTTTCATCAATTTGTACTTAACAAAATCAGTTAAACTTGTGTGACAGAATATTGTTTTGTATTTTGACATGTACCTGTACCTGTGACCTGTACCTGTACCTGCGACCTGTACATAGAAACGAAATAAATTAATATATCTATAAACATCTCATAAGGCAAGGCAACGGTGGTGGTCCTATTATTTTCGGTCAGACATTTAGTGGCTGCCTAGGGTAAAGTGCAAATTAATAGAACAACAACAACAAAAACACCTTAAGGTATTATAAGCGGGCGTTATAGATCATAACGCCCGCAAAAGCGGGCGTTATGGATCAGGTTGTTATAGGTGTGTTAACGTATTTCGTTTCCTAGGTATTATGGATCTATAATAGTAAAGTAGAAAATAAACAATATTTTCCGTGCTCAAAGCCCACAAACAATAAACGTTATAGCAAACAGAAACAGCATATAAGCAGGAAAAAGGGAAATAATGGAAATGTATTTCACACGCACTCGTAAAACGCTGATGCATTTCCTCAATTTCCCATATACAACAAGTCAAAACAAGCAATCGATTGCTATTTCAGTTTCAGTTGTAATGCATTCAAAAAAAAAAGTACAGCATTCGGCTTTCATGGCCGCGCCAACGTCAAAAGGTTAACACCAAGTTAAATAGATTTTCGATACCCCATAAGGACCTTAAAAGCTTTCGAGTGTATTGCAGTTCTTTGACAACGAAGTAAAATAAAAGCTCCGATTTAAAGCGCTTAAAAGCCAAAAACTGAACTCAAAGTTAAACTTATTTAGCGGAGTCTCGATCTTTGTTACCTACTTTTTGAAGTGTTGATTGCGTTTGAAAATAGTTGTGATTATTAATTCCCATAAAGCAAAAAATATACTTTGGTTTTAGGTTTCAGCATTTTATCAGGATCCAACTATTGGCAACTTCATTAAAGTAGCAGTAGTCAAAATTATACTTCTAGACGATTCATCTAATGAACCCGAATTTAATGCTACTACAAATGCTGACGTGACTTTGAAAAACTTTTGTAAATGGCAAAAGGATTTAAACCCCAAAGATGATTCGCATCCTCATCATCACGATGTTGCAATATTATTAACCAGGTAATCTTGAAATTATTTGAAACATTTTGCACAATTTGCAAGTAATATTGGAGAAAATAAAATAAGTATTTCTCATAAAATACGACCATTTTCTCAAATTGTTACAGTGTTGCTCAAACTTTACGACTTTATATTTAAGTTACGAATTGAACCAGGAAGAAATAAAAATTGTTTCAATTTCATTTAGTGTCGTTTTGTTTCTAGGAAAGATATTTGTGCAAAAAGCGATCATCCGTGTGGAACCTTGGGCGTATCCCATATTGGTGGTATGTGTAAATTATCGAGAAGCTGTAGCGTAAATGAAGATAATGGGATTACCTCTGCGCACACGATTGCTCATGAAATGGGACACAAGTAAGTGGGTTTTTTGTTATTTAGCTGCCAGTTATCCGAGAGAATTGCAACATAATTTTGACAGACATACTTGGTTTGTATGTTCCCATGAACTTGAATTATAAAGTGCATATTTACGTTAAAGGAATTATAGTGGTCTATTATCAATTTTACACTTAGACTCATAGATTTTATTGCCTGTATCTTTGACTCATGATCATCACCAAGATCAGGAACAGTTAAAGGGCTGCAAACTTTCTATTCCTGACTTCCATCCAAATTGTTGTTGATACAAGCAAAAGCCTTGAAAAGTAATACGGAAGCACATTTACCATACGGGATCTCCATAGAAGGTACTAACCGGAAAACAGAAATATATTGAATAATTTAATTGTTAAAATCATCATTTTACAAGGAAAGGATTTCGGAAATCACACCCGGGGAGAGAGAATTTTTGAGCTTGGATCCTGATTTGGTTTTGCATTGGATAAACCTAAGGGAATTCCGACGAATCTATCCAACAAAATTATTGTCACGGCTCTGGGTTGCCTGACAGAAATCTTGGGTTCGTTTTGTTTATTCCAAAATCAAAGTCCAATTAACACAGCAATAATTTATTCCACGTTACTATACACTTTGACACTAATTACTAACTCAACAACTAAACTCTTTACAACTCGCAACAATAATCACTATTTAACACGTTGACTGCCGAGCCTGATATAAGAATTTAGCTCCAGACGCCCATTATATCCAAGTGATTTTCTTTTGTGGATTTTTTATCAAAATCATCTTTTTCATATTGGGCGTCTGATTTAAGTAGCCAAAAACGGATTATCTCGTAGTCGGCAGTCAACGTGTTAAATCGTATCACAGTCAAACTTAAACTTAAAACTCCCAGTAACATCGGCCTTATATATCCCTAAATCTATTCATGTATAATCTAGAATAAACGCCATAATCTTATTTTCCCGATTAAAGTAGAATTTACTAGATTATAGGAACTAATTTCTAGGATTCTCGACAGGCTGGCGGATGCATTGTAACACTGCCCTCCTCTTAAGGTTGATCGTCCCGATCAACTTCACGCCCATGATATTTCGTTAATTATTTGGGTTGAGTTTCAAGTTGGCATTCCGGAAGCGGTTGAAAACTTCTTTCAGGTTATTGAGATGTTCTTGGAACGAAGTTCCCATGATCATGACATCATCCAAATATACCAGGCAAGTTCTCCATGTAAGGCCTCGCAAAACAAGATGCATCAGTCGCTCAAACGTACGTAGCTGGAGCATTACACAATCCGAAAGGCATTACGTAAAACTGGTATAACCCGCTTCCGGTACTGAAGGCAGTTTTCTCTTTGTCATCTTTGTGTATTGCGACTTGCCGGTATCCACTTTTAGGATCCAAGGTGGAAAACCATTTGGAGCCCGACAGCGTTGTTAATGTATCGTCTATTCTCGGAAGAGGGAAGCTGTCCTTCTTGGTGACGTCATTAAGCTTACGGTATGTCTTTTCTGGATGTCGATTGATATAGAAAACACGTTGGTGAAGTCAAAAATTCGATATCTCCCTTTGTTCCCGAATAGTATTTTTTAAAACTTACTCGGAAATTCACTATCACAGTCAAAATCGGGTATAAAGTCACTTCCGGGGTAATTTACACGATCGGGTAAGTCTCTTTTGGTGATTGTCACTGACTAACTGTCTCAGTGTTCATACTTAACAACACTAGTGTCCGCGCACGATTCTGCAATCAGATTTCACTGCAGTCCTCAAATTATGTCTCACTTCTGACACCAATGTCACGGCTCTGGCTTGCGTGCCAGAAATCTTGGGTTCGTTTATTCCAAAATCAAAGTCCAATTAACACAGCAATAATTTATTCCACGTAACTATACACTCTGACACTAATTACTTTAAAAACCTACTCAACAATTAAACTCTTTACAACTCGCAACAATAATCACTATCTAAATCGCATAACAGCCCAACTTAAACTTGAAACTTCTAAATACCAGCTTGCTTTATATAGCTGTAAATCCATTCACGTACAATCTAGAATACACGCGATAACTCTCCTTTTCCCGATTAAGTAGAATTTACTAGATTATAGGAATCTGTAATTTCTAGGGTATTCGACAGCTTAGGATTCTTGACAAACATTAAAAATTGATAATTGAGAAGACCCTTGAGAAGAATACTTAGAAAAAAAAATGTTAACCCTTTTCAGAAACATTATAACAGAGCATCAAATACTAGAAGCATGGAAAAAGCTGCTGAGCGATCCTGATTTTTAAAAAAAGCCAAATAGTATGAAGAAAAAGGTGGACATTTTGGTGAATGTGATAGGATACTGCAAATGATGATCCAATATAATTAACGAAGAGGCCTTTAGATGTCAGAATTTCATCTGAATCAAACATATTAATTTCAGAAAGACAAGAAAATCATCAAGTCATGCCAGATTTGAGAAGGAACATTGAAATTTTACTATTATTATTGATAGCGAACCCTAAAAGAAAGTAAATATAACAGGTCACCGTCAATTCGTCGTAAGTCAATCAGTCGTACATCAATTCGTCGTACACCTATTCATCATGAAGTCAATTTGTTGTAAAGTCAATTCGTCGTATACGTCAATTCGTCGTAGCATTGATTCAGCGTATACGTCAATTCTTCGTAAAGTCAATTTGTCGTAAAGTATCGTCGGTCGTCGGCTAGCTCATAGCTCATATTGGGGGTAAAATGGGTCAAACATTGCTGACGGTATAAAGGCAACTGAATCTTATGCATCACTGGTGACTCATGTGGTAGCCAACGTGTTAATAGTTTGCAATTTTATTCAGACATTATCAAACTTGCCGATAATAACCCCGTTAGTTTGGGTTAGATTAAAATTGCCAATCTCTGATTAAACAGAAAAAGTGCAAATTTATACATTTTAACATTATACCGGAAATACGACGAATTAACAATACGACGAATTAACGTGTTGATAGATCGCAATTTTAATCAGACATAATTAAACTTACCGATAATAACCCGGTTAGTTTGGGTTAGTTTGCAATGCAATGTCTGATTAAAATAATTGCAAATTAACCCTAACTAACCAGGTTATTATCGGGAAGTTTGGTAATGTCTCATTGAACCCGGGTATGCTATACTACAATATGACACTGAACAATCAAAAATAGAGAAGCAAATGTCTTCGTAACTGCAGACCAAGCTAAAACAGAAACTATGCTTTAATAGTCCTAAATGAGAGTCATGAATTACTGCTTCTGTACTCTTTCTATAATTAGTAACGAAAGAAAAACTTTCAAGATTCTTTGAAACGAACAGTATTGAAGAAGACTACTGTGCAGAAAAAATGTTGCCTAATTTCCAATTGTTCTGAGTATATAGTTCCAACAGAAAATGCACCGACTTTCTCATTATGCTAGAGTCGTTCGTCAGTAGTATTTAGACGATGTATTTTTTGAATGGTGAATTGGTGGAAGAAGCAGAAACGGATGTCTGGTTAGATCACTTGATTTGACGCCTATCGATAATTTCTGCTATAATCGGACATTCAGAGAGAGGTTGATTGTCGTCGATGAGTAGAAGAAACAGGAAAGCTTAGACTCATCATAGTAGATGTAACCGAAACAAGACCACACATAACAGATAGATGATGGGAACCGTTGAAATGAAAATAATGGGAAATATTCACTGGAATCATATATCATATCACATAATAAGAAGTAAGTAGTTACCTCCGAAAACGCTCTGATAAGTTAAAAGTAGTATGATGGATAAGACAACGAAGCAAATAGTGGGACCTGGGAAAAATGGATCAAAATATAGGTACTTGTGATTGTGATAAATGCGTAATTAAACTACTCTGCCGGAAAAAGAACTCAGGGTAGACCACCGAAACCAAGCCACATAAATTATTCATAACATTTATTGAAAAATAAGAACTGAATAAAATAGAATGAATAATAAACACACAAACTCAACAATTTTATATCTGAATCATAACATAAATTAAATAAACCCCAGTAGGTATCCACCTGCAGAAAAATCGAAATTCAATTAACAACATTTACACCAAAGAATCCCACCGTAAATTTTCTCGTGCGTCAATAAGGGTGTAGCCGCAATTTTGCATAACATAAAACTAACAATTTTACTGCCGTTCACTGAAAGATAAAACAAGTGGCGATTCTTTACGGCTTATATTGATATTTTATGGACCTTTTTACCGCATGGCGGTATTGGAGTGCAACATAAACATGTTTACAAGATAGCCGGGCTTACGTTTTCTAAACGTGTCCCCGGTATAAAGACGGTTTTTAGTTATTGGTTCATTTGTGCTCAATGAAACGTGGACGGTTTTCGAACCATAAATATTCTTCTATGGGGAAAATCGGAGGCAAACTACTGCAATACTTGCAGGAGGTAATTTAGTCACTGGATGGTATCATTTCGTATAAGGTTATGATGGTTTTATGCACCGGTGTGCTTTAAAAACAGAAGGGAATCTACTTAATAAATTTAAAAGATATGGAGGGCAGTATTTCCTGCTGTGGATGCGATGGAAGTTAGATATTTAGATTAAGTTTGAATGAATAAACAACATGCACGGGGTTTTATTACTTCAATTCAAGTCAAAGACGAGATGTTTGTTTTTCCTGTATGTGAATAGATACTGTTGCAGTTGCAGATATGAGTCCAAATTGTAAGATCCAATTAGAAAATCGATATAGCAGAGAGGCTGGGTTTCTAATTTGTTAGCTGTATAGGAAAAATAATCACATTGTTGACGAGGTACTAGGAGAAGTACCATAGCAATGTCATCAATATACGCCAATGAAGTACTTAGAATGCCAGCATCCCTCTACAAGTCAACAGCATGAATTTTGTCAATAATTTTATAAGAAAACTTGCAATTAATCAATTACCTGTCTCAGAAAGACTAAAACGAAACTCAACAGAATGAAAATCAGTTCTTTTTTGATAGAACCATCCTTCTTGTGAAGATCAATATGTTGCCAATCTTTTCTACCTTACTTCGAGAAATATCACTTATTCTCGTTCCCCTTACATATCTTCTGAAACCTTTACGACGAATAGGCGTACGACGAATTGACGGTGACCCGTTGTATTTACTTACTTTTAGGGTTCGTTATAGTAATAGTAAAATTTCACTGTTCCTTCTCAAATCTGGCGTATCTTGATGATTTTCTTATCTTTCTGAAATTACTATGTTTGATGCAGATGAAATTCTGACATCTGAAGGCCTCTTCGTTGATTATCTTGGATCATCATTATTGCAGTATCCTATTACATTCACCAAAATGTCCACTTTTTTTACATACTATTTGGCCTTTTTTAAAAATCAGGATCGCTCAGCAGCTTTTCCATGCTTCTAGTATTTGATGCTCTGTTATAATGTTTCTTAAAAGGGTTAACATTTTTTTTTTTTGTAAGTATTCTTCTCAAGGGTTTTCTCAATTATCAATTTTTAAGATGTTTGAAACCATGTCTTCTTTCAGCAGATTCTCACTTCCCTCCGTTTTTAAATATAGTTTTTTGAAATATCGCTCCGATTCCTCGGCATTGATTTTATTGGTCCGGTATCTCCTATATTATCATCTTTCTCTGGTCTTTGTACCTATTCTCTACACATATCATACTCTTATTCTCTACTGAGTTGAACAAAACAAAATCGTGGTGATGTGGGTGCAATCAACAAGTTTACAATAACGATTATTCTTTTCAAAATAACATAAAGTAATAAATTTGTCGCCATAATATCGGCGTTGAACTTGAAGACATAGTTTCCAACTGTTTCAGTTAGCACTCTATGGGCAGTAATTTCCACTTCGTGACTTACGCGAGTTATTAATGGAAGAAATAAATCTTTGAGTGTCTGTTAAAAACTTAATTTATTACCGTGTTCAAAAAGGTATTTTATGTACGTGGTAAAGGATAGCGCCGCTCGTGTGGAAGGAGAACTAATTTGTGTGTTTTTTTTTAATATATCTAATTGCATGTGGGCTGAAAACTACTATTTTCAAGTGACAAAAACAAAAATCCTTTTCTATACAATTGAATACCTATTTCATCATTCTATTTAAATCCTTTTCCACGTTTGAAATAATTAAAGACTTGGCTTGAGGAGGATTTCATTAACTTGAAAATATAATTTAATTATAATTAAGTCCTTCAAATTGTTAATTTCTTATTGGGATTTTGGAACTTAGAGTGATCGATCTTTGAATGCTTAATTTTTAAGTTGTCAGCGGAAATTACTCTCGAGCCACTTTCCTGTAACATCACTAGAAGAACGTCTCCAATATAGCATTTTTTAATGGAAAATTCATAATTATAATCAAATCTTATAGGCAGGTAATTTTTAAATTGATTAAGAGGCAAGATGGGATAAATTCAATTAATTACGAACAGCATGGCACAAGTACCTTTTTGTATTGCTTGTAAAGTGAATGATGTCAGAAAAAAAATTAAACTTATAGATAAGCATATACGTATGTACGTATATTATGTTAGGACACGCGATTGAACGCGCTAACAAGCTTGTTAAAGTTGTACAAACGCGGATATAACAGAATAAAATTACTGACAGATAGGATCGTTAACAATATTTTTGCTGTAACAATTGGAAAACTTTATTTTCATGGCGTCTTTTCATGCTCCGATCAAATCAGTGAATGAGATTTATTTGTAAGTTGTCCAATAAATAATGTCGTCATGGCTATGGGGGACTTAGTTTTTGGATGGTAGAGGAATTTCAATGTTGACAATACGATTTGTGTGACGTTATTATTTTTATAATGTTTGATACAATGTAAGCAAAAGGAGATTTCCAGCTAACGGTTATTTTATTGCCTACATGAGGTTAGCTGAGTTATGATATTACCGGTATTACTTTTTGAATCATGAATGTTGGTATGTGGCCATTGGCCAGTCGTTCATGCAAAACAATGTTTGAGTTTATATACCTACCATTTAAAACGATACAACGTGGCACCAGTCTGTATAAAATATTAAACTATTTCTAGTTTTGGTATGCTGCACGACACTGAAAAAATCGGATGCAAGAGGAAGGTGGGAAATATATTGCACATTATGGCACCAGCTCTTGAAGCAGATGCGGTCCAAGCAATTTGGTCAAATTGCAGCCGAAGAGAAGTTACAAACTTTCTAGAGTAAGTACTATATTTTGTATCAACCTACTATAGTTTCTTCAGGATATTGTAGTTCTTCAAATAAAGCAATCTGTAAGATTTTATATAGTAGGCTACCTAATTTTCTATGTCAACTTTGATTTATTTATGCAAACCCCCCCGTGTGGAGGGTGTGTTTTTATTTTCGTTTTATCTGGCTGCAGGCGAAACGCTGCCGGGCAGAGTTTGCTTATGGTAATTCGGAATTTGAAATATAAGCACTGAAAATGCAGATCGCGTGTAAATTACTACTTTGTACTTTACTACTAAATGAATATTTACCATACATAATATCGTTTAACTCAAGTAATATATGACTTAAATACCATTGGTAGGGTAATTTTAAGTGGGATCAATTATTTTTGTTTTTCGTGAAAATTAAAACACAACGAGAGCAAGGCCCTCAGTCTACGGCAGGCCTTTGAAACCAGGCTATGGTAGCAACCTTGAATATAGAGGGATAGAGGATGTTAAGAATCCTTGGAGTCCATCAGGCTATACCACCATAATCGACAACAGCAAAGAATATAGTTTATAGCAACACATAACAACACAACATTGATGGCGGACGAAAAACTTGTGGAACTTGAGAACGAGCTGAATTAGGATATAATACGGGGTTATCAGAAGTACGGCGAAAGGGCGAAGAACAAATTATACTTTCGTTGGGACACCTATTGTAACGATGGATTTTTGGTTACACAAGGAACATAATTACAATTGAAAGCATAAGTGATAGAATTATCAATCTTTTAAAAGTCCGCATCGAATATGGACTTAAACAAGAACGAAATCGAGTTAGGTAATAACAGAAAAGAGGTTGTTCAAAACGTAACTGTATTAAACCGATGCTCAACCGGCAGTGATCGCAGAATGGTTATTGCGAAGATAGTCTTGAACGTCAAAAAGGAAAGAAGGAATATTGTAGCAAGGACAGAAAAATTCAAATTCACTCTGATTACTAACACATATGCATACCGCTAAGGAATAGAGAGTTGATACAAAATTAGGTGCAAGATGAAAACAATATTGAACAGTTTATTAAGACGGCGGTGGAGATACTAAAGAAGGCGCAAAAGAAATGTGGACATCAAGGAAAACTGAAAAACTCACTGAAGACACAAGAAACCTAATGCAAACAAAAAGGGAAATGAAAGATAAACACAAAGCGAACATAGCAGCTAAAAAGTTTAAATAAAACTAATTCAAAGGCTATGAGAAAAGACATACGGAACTTTAACAATAAATCGATAACTAATATCATAGAACAAAAGCCTGAAATCTTGCTAGAACGGAAGTTGAAGACAGAAAGGAGGAATATTCATAAGCTGGAAAATAAGCAAGGACACATCTAAAGCTGGGTACGCATATGAACATGAACGCGAATGAGGCAATCCGAGGCCGAACCATTTGCCTCGGATTCGGGAAGAAATAAACTTTTGGGTGACCTGAATAGTGGACGCACGAGGCGTTGTACGGAATCGATCCATAAATCTGTGGTGAGCATTCTTGTTGTTATTAATTTAAATTTTTAATCTCTTTCATCTCAAAACAACACGTGAACCCTCGACCTCGACCTCGAAATAATTTTTTTCTACTGACATTTCATAATACGCTATTAAACGATTAAAATCTGTATCATAATGAACTTCATTATGATACAGATTATCATTATAATACTGATTTTTAATATCATACAATGTAGATAGATGGCACCACCAGTTAAGATATTAAATATTTTAAACGGTAATTTTGCGTAAAACAATTATTTTGATGACTATAAAAAAGACTTCGAATTGTTTAAAAGTTATCTAAAGTTTGGGACAAAGAATAATTATTACGGAAATAATGAGTGATAAGGAAGAATTTTTACTTTTTTCATTATCATACATTGTCAATAGATGGCGCCAGCCGTTAAAAATTTTGAATTTTTTTTTTTGAATGTTGACAGCACTCTGTTTATAGTTTTTCCATGGTAATTTAGCGAAAAACAATAATTTTATTAAAAAAAAATACTTCAAATTGTTATTAAAAGTTACCTAAAGTATTATTATGGAAATATTGAGTGCTAACGAAGAATTTTAACTAACATCTCCAGAAATTACAGAAAGGGGACAAATGCAGATAATAAATATACTACCGGACAAGTCCAAGAAAACACATCGTCCTTCTCAGAAAATGTTTTGATAGTAAAGTCTGTTTTTTATTTAAAGATAATTCCCCAAGTCAAAAATTTAGTAACTATGTTGGCAACACAAGCCCTTTCTACATAAAAAATTTGAAAGCATTGACAATTTTACATTGTATTGCCAACATAATGTCATTTTGACTTTTATCTTTAAAAAAAAAACAGATTTTATATTTTGAAGAATTACAACAAAAAATGAAACCTTCAACTGTATGGACGCATCACTCAATTATAAAATCTCTATTCAAAGTTAAGCATAATGTTGGCATATCTAAAAATCATAAGTTTTATCAATGGCAGTAGAAAAAATAGTGTATGCAACTCTCATGTAATGGCCAATAATGGCTATCATTACATGATCATTGCATAATATACTATTTTAAAATTTCCATCCATACTGAGCACACATGAGCAGCGCACGAGCAGATGCCTCACTTTGATATACCGCCAAAAAATGGATCGGGTCGAGGCCAAATGCATGCGGATTCAAAAAAATTGCACGCCTCGTTCAGACGTACACATACGTATGCTCATGCGTCCCCGGGCTGCCTCATTCGCGTTCATGCTCATATGCGTACCAAGCTATACACGAACAACAAGACATTCTGAAAACCATCGTATTATGTATCATTATATAGTTGAAATGATTCCATCCAAGATGTAGACATTCCAGTAATACAGCATCAAGGGTCAGAGAGTCGGAGGAACTTCCAGATATACGTAAAAGGAAATTGAAACAGCCATAAAATGCATGAAGAAGAACAGAACCCCTGGAGAAGATGGCATTGTAACTGAAAAAATAAAACTGGGAGTTAAATGCGTCATAAAAGCCCGCCTCTTTGAAAGATGTCATGTTATTATTGGATTGAAACACGCAAGTATAATTTATAACTTTTAAATTAGTTTAAATAAAGGAAATCACAATTCTACATATCATACATGAAATCTGTTTTTTAGCCATCACTTAAACTCACTAATGTCAATCGTCTAAAATCAGCTGCATCTAGAATCAGCTGTTCTCAAACAACTAAGTTATTGTGGTGTAAATTAGAGACTAGAGCCTGTTTTTTTTCAAAGATAAAAGTCAAAATGATATTAGGGAATTATTGAAATTCGGCAGCAGTTGACTGTGCCGCTTTAGTGCCGACCCAAAATTGACTGTGGTAAGCCCTATTTTGGCTCACCAAAGGAATTATTGAACGACACATTGTAGTCGGCAGTGGTGAACTTTGGCAGTGGCATGTCATGTTTTATTTTCATATTCCTAACCTAAAATTGCAAAGTGTAAATATTGTTCGTCGATTTTTAACTGATACTTGCGGTATGAGGAGCGAAGGGGTGTTTCATATGCCAAAAACAGGTGTGACGTCAGGTAACCATTGGAGTTCTAATGTAGGAAGCCACCAGCTCACATTCCGTCCGAGTATCAGAATAAAATCGACGAACAATACGTGTTTGGTGTTCTTCTAGTGGTTCTTCTTGTAGTTTTTTGTTGAGTTTGTTTTGTTATTTCATCTATATTTTATAATGGAGGATATTGGAGGCCGTATTATTAAGGGATGGGGATGGGGATGATGATGATGATGACGATGTGGGATACGTCATTCTAGACCACATTTCAAGGGACGAGAATGATGGGGCCCGTGGTCATTGTAACGAAGTATTTGTGATTTTAAACTGTCTTTCCCTTCATAAGAGCCCATTCTAATGAAAAAATCCAACACACACAAACAGAACAGGCAAATGGGCAAAAAACCTATAAAAACAGAACACCAAACACCGCTAAGAAGCCACTAACCTGTCACTGGAAACTGAAGAAATAGGTTTGGTCGGACTTCGTTTAAAATCAGTTCAGAATTGAACTGCGCTTGCGCATTTATTCATATCGAATATATGGAAACCAATGCGCAAGCGCAGTTCAATTCAGAACTGATTCTGAACTAAATCTGAACAAACCAATAAATGTAAATTAATAAAAAAGTGAGGTCAACATTTGAATAAGCCTTGACGGACGTCAACTTAAAAAAAGAAGAGACATAGGGACGGGACTGTGCCTGTTTATGGCTTGTTTTTATTTTCCACAAATAGTGGAAGGCACAAACTTTATTATTGGCGGCACTAAAAATTAACAGTACTGCCACAACGCGCACGTCTCAAATACGTCAAAATATTGCCTAGCGCTATTAGGGCCTGGTATTTTATACTCTTCAATAATTCCCTATGTTGGCAATACAATGTAAGATTTTCAACGCTTTCAAATTTTGTATGTAAAAAAGGCTTACGTGTTGCCAACATAGTTACTAAATTTTTGACTTGGGGAATTATCTTTAAAAAAAACAAACTTTACCATCAGATACTAAATTATAAAAATAGAACAACAAAATGTAACTTTCTTAATTATATGACATATTTCCCTTTTAAAAATAAAGTTAAAGATATATCTCTAATAAGTGACAAAATTATTAAATTTTGCTGGTTTTTTAATGGTTCTACCCCTACTACTTTTCAATGGAGATGTCATGTTAGCTTATCCGCTGTAATATTTTGCTTTGTTTCAGAACTCTACTTCTGATCGACACTGATTTCCAAAGTGTCCAAATCAGGAAAATGTCTCTCAATATGAAAATCGTTTTGAGAATGTTTTAAATGAAAAGTATTTCTATGTACTATATGACCTAGGGGCATTCTCAACCTTTCTTATGATTCTGGCAAGACTCCATGTTTTCCCTCTTGAAGTATAACATTTTCATCATTTTGGAAGTCGTTTCTTGGCGTTCTTGACCTATCGTAGTAA